TTAATCAAGACTTTTGATATCTGAGCAAATTCAAGGCAGTGAAGAAGAGAGGGCCTCCATTGCAAACTTGACTCTGTGTCATACAAAAAAGCACTTGGTTTTGATTTTGGTGGTTTTTTTCCCGTTTCTGAAAGTACATGATGTTCCTGAGAGGTAGCCCCAGCTGAGATATACAGGGTCATTTCCTATTCATTCAGAATTTATTAAAAAAAGAAAACCTGGTTCTTTTCTCCTCCTAATTGACATGATGTCTTTTAATGTTCTTATATGGCAAGTAATTACTGGACTTCTTTTTTTCCAAAACAGAATTTTAGAATCATAGAATTGCCTAGGTTGAAAGGGACCTTTCAGATCATCTAGTCTAAGCATTTGCAGTCTGCAAAAGTTATTGTTTCTTGAAAAGACTGAGGAGATGTTTTGGAATGTAGCCTAGTCCTGAATTATGGATTCCTAATTAGGTTTTCTGCTGGAGAGAAAATAATTTCAGTTTCCTTTGCTGTTTGGAAAGAGACATGTCATAGAAGAGCAAGTCTTGAATGAGGATCCCTGAAACCCAAGAAGGAGCACAGGCTGTGTCTACAGGAGTGGGAGCAGATGGATACAGGTCAGAGGCACTGTAGGGCAGAGCATCCACAAGTCCTCCACAAAGGCAAGGTACGCCAGGGGGGGTTCAGGTTGGATATTAGGAAAAATTTTTTCACCGAAAGGGTTATCAGACATTGGAATGGGCTGCCCAGGGAGGTGGTTGAGGCACCATCCCTGGAGGTGTTCAAAAGACGGGTTGATGTAGTGCTGGGAGATATGGTTTAGTGATGGTGTTGCTTTTTGTGTGTTGTGTGGGTATTTATTTTTGTCAAAATTAGGTTGACGGTTGGACAAGATGATCTTTAAGGTCCCTTCCAACCTAGAAGATTCTGTGATTCTGTGCTGTTCCAGCAGGGCTTCAGACCAGCCAGGGCAGGGCACAGAGACTCAGGTCTGCCTACATAGGTAAGTGCAGCTGTAATTGTAGATGCTTACCTCCAAGGTAATGCTTCTCCAACTCTCCCTGCTGTTGACATCTAACCCTGGAGACATGTATGACCCATAGTTGTCTGTCTTAGATACAAGTTGTCCTTCTGGGTGAGACTGTACAGCTCATAAAGTAGATGTTCTTCATCCAGTCTTGCTCAGGAGCCTCACTTGATAGTTAGTCTCACAGCACGTGTGACAGGCTCCATGCAAAATCTATTTTTTTGTAGAAAAGGTGGTCGAAAGAACCGTAGGTGGCATCCTGTATGACAAAGTTAGTCCCAACTTAGAGGACTTCTCTGGAACAAGAGGTTTTCTTAGAAACAAGATGCTTCAGTGTATCGTAGTGGTAGATTTTTTCTGGATCACTCTGTGCTGTGCCAGTTTATCTCCAGGGGATTAAGTGCAAACATTTATGCAATTATTTAATAATACTGGATAAAAATGTTGATGCCATAACTACCAGTTCAGCAGTCACGTACTGGCTTTCTGGAAATCTGGAAAACTGTGTCAGGTGCCTGTGAAAGGAGACTCTTAGTCACAAAAGCAGCGACGTAGAAGAGCTCTGTGCACGTGTACTACCTCCCAGATGCATATGACATGGATTTTGGCAGCTGTGTGGGTAGTTGTTGCAGAACACCGAGTATGGTGTAAATTCACGTTAACAGATTTCCCAATAGTTTCCCTGGGTAAGCATGACTGTGGCTTTCACTATCTATCTGAGCTTTTCCATGCAGCTCTGACATTTGTTTGGTGACCTGGATTGTGTAGCCAGACACAGCTTCTGCTTTCAGATGGGGAAAGGACTTGTTTGAGGCTTTTTTAATGTAATATGATATGGATGGGCACTGCAGCACCCTCTGGATGGGATCTGGTGCCGAATAAATTCAGCCATGAAATACTGTGCCCTCTGTTAATATGGAGGACAATTATCTTTGAATTCCCAAACTTAATTATCCTAAGTAACAAGAGTGAGTTGGTGGATCCTGGCACTAAGAGTGTGTCACAGTGGAAGTCAGGATTACTGACTGTGTATATGGGCAGAGACATCCCGTATTTGTTCACTCCAGTTTGTTCCTGGCTCTGTATTCTCCAGCTCCTTTAGAGCTCTGTATTCTCCATTTCCCAGTAGACCAGAATCTAAACCCAAATTTTTATCTACTTCTTTTCAGGTAGCTGCTGTGTTTACAGGTCTGCATATAAGGCAGTGGGAAGGGGTTTTGTACTTTCAGCCAGGTATGGAGTCTTGCATCTCTATAAAAAAACCACATATGCAGAAATTTGCAACAACTATTGCATATTTTATTACCAACACCTCAACACTGAATGAGATTTATGTAAGACTCTACACAAATTCCACGCTAGAACACGAAGGCATCATTAGACTGGACACTCATAACTTTTATTGAGAGCAAGAGAAAGGGTTACAAAATGCAGCGTGACAGCACAGCAGAAATTATTCCTCCCATTTTTTTATCACTGCCTTCTAATGAATACCAATAGCCACATTTCTCTTTCAGTGAGGGTGGTTCACCCATTGCCACATGTCAGGGACTTTAAACGGTTGTTTTGGGCTTGACTGAACGATTTGCAAGATGCTACACGATTTAAAGAACTAGAATTGCATAATTTATGGTTGTGTGTCAGCCAGAAAGGCTGCCCACTCCACGCAGGGCCAAGGGCAAGGCAGGTGTCTCTGCTGTGTGAGGTTTCACCTGTCTTTATCCAACTGGTTTTGGGCTACTGGTGGTTCACTGGGAAGCACAAGGAAGACAAAACCCAAGAGTTTGTTTGGCCAAACTTTTGCCACTGTGTTTGCAGCCTGAGACTTGAACAGTTTGCTGAGAAAAATCATTGTAAACGGAGAAGTTTCACGGTCACTTATGTCACAAATACCCTGCATTCCAGAGTCCCTTAGGGACAAACTCTTCAAAATGAAGTTATATTATGTAATTTAAATGGTGCTTTTCTCCTGATGCAGAAGCCTATCGGATCATTTCTGCTTTGATCAGCTCTTGCCCAGGTTTCTTGCGAGCCATCTGCTTGGGAGACAGGGAACACAACCATCATTTCACCTCAACCTGCTGCCATGCCTTGGTGAAAAGTATAGTTTTGTTTTCTGTCCTTCCTGAAACCTGCAGCTCCAGCTGAGTCTTTCCAGTCCTTCTCAGAACTGGGAGCTCACCACGACAACCCCTTTTCTTTTCTTTGAATCACATTATGTGAATTGTCTGCAAAACTTACCGTTACAAGGGAGAGTTGAGACCTAGAACTTGTGCAGGGACTGGGCATTGTTGTAGATGATATTTGTGATTGTAAACATAATAAGTTTATAAACATAAATATAAAGTTTGGGATAAGGTGGGAAACTCATGATTTGGGATTTAACTCGGTATTGCATTATAAAGGGATAGGACAGAAACCTAATGAGGATAGATTATTGTATCTGCCTACAGCTTGTACCTTCCTCAAAAGCACCCAAGGCTAGTAATTTTGGATTTAAAAAAAATAATGCAAGATTAAAAGAATCCTAAATCTGAAGTAGAGCAATGTTTCATATATGTGGGTTTAGTTTCTTCTGGGTCACCTGCTACATTGGTGTGACTTCATAGGAAAAGTGGCATTGCCTTCTCTTTGCTGTTTATTACAACTGAGAACTCTTACCTCTTTACTGCACAGCAGATCCTCTCTCAACATCAGAGATATTTAGACTTTGGCTCTACAAGACTAATATTTAAGTAAGGTTAATTATGTAAACAGTGCCGTTAAACATAGTTTTAGAAACTCTTAATCTACAGCCAGACTTGCTGTTAACATTTGTTGTTGTTATTACTATTATTATTATTAGTCTCAACCCCAAAATCTTTTAATGCCTGTTGTTGATTTATGAACGAATTACTTAAACAATGAGATGATTGAGTGATTGGGTTATACACAGGAAACTCTGAAAACAACCATATGCCAGTAAGTGTTGCCAACGTGCAAGCTAAATTAACTGGAGATAAAGAATATTGTCTTGATGTGTTCTTTCTTTACTCTCATCTGGTGGTATTTTGATCAAAAATGCTTTCAGTCAATAAAGACACGTGAATTTAGGCTGCCAGGGTGTGAACACAGAAAATTTCAAAGATCCAGGACAACCTGAAGTTTGGGAAGCGGCGATACTGTCAGAGATTCCTTGTGGAGAGATTGCAGACCTCGGGGCACTCTGCTGTTTTCACTCTGCTAGAGCACCAGGTGGCTCGATGCCTTGAAGGCAGGAATTACAGCTGAAGGAGAGGTGTTAGCAAACATAGGTAATAGCAGCTTTTGGCTCTCTGCAAAAACTCCTCTACAGCTTTACCTTTTGGCGCCGTACGACACGATAAAGCTCCCCTATACGGTAAACACAGGATTTTCTGACATTAATGCCTGATTAAAGGAGGATTACAGGATGCTTCAGCTTTCTAAGGAGGTCACTGAATATTGCTGCAGAAGAGCTGCCCACAGCCTTGCTCAGGCTTCTCTTCTGGCCAGCCCCTGTATTGACTCAGCAGTATGGAAGCAAGTTAACAGCTTACCTTATCCAGTTCCTAATGCTCTATGAAGGTGCTCACTTAATAGTCCTTTCTGTCATTTTGCCATCCCATTTAATTGAGTAACAGATAATCTTCCTAAGTTTTTCTATTTATGCACATTTGTAGTTCAGTGAAGCACTCTACGGCTCTCGTGAGACATCAGACCTTCCAAAGGCAACTCGGAAAGGACAAGAAGGAACAGGGCTTTTATTCAAGGGTGTGTCGAAGCGTCTGGTGTGAACGTGGAAGAGGAGGGAGCTGTGGAAGGGTGTGTTTGGGCAAGGGGAGCCAACCAGCCCTAGAAGCACAGGGAGTGGCTTGGAGTGGGACTGTATAACGGGCAGGCGGAGATGGTTCACCCTCTGCCTGGACATGGTGCGGCAAAGCTTAGACTAGTGAACCTCCGTGCCGACTGCGCACCTACCAGCACGGATGGCTCCACAGACCGGCTCCACCGAGAAGAAGACGCGACCTGTTTCAGCCTTTCCCCAGCTTTTCACTTGGGAAGAGATCAGAATCCACAACGGCCGCGGTCAAGGTCGGGAGCAATGGCTGGTGATCGACAGGAAGGTTTACGATGTCACCACGTTCGCCAAACGGCACCCGGGAGGCAGCCGAGTTATCAGCCATTACGCTGGGCAAGACGCCACGGTAAGATCCAGGAGGAGGACAGTTGGAGGAAGGTGGTTCCATTTGTCAGGGCAGGATGGCTTGGTGGGACTTGGTGGCTTGGTGGGACTCCAGTGGAGGGTGCTTGTGATGGTGCGGTGCTTGATGAGATGACGCGGTGGACATGCCTGTGCCTTCTGTAACCCTTCTGGTTACCTTCAGGGCCGGTGACCTGCTATGCAAATTGTAAAGCCGTGTTTTGGTTCGTCACACACCCTGCTGTAAACAAAGGACTATCCATGCAGGTTGTCTTTGCCACCAGGCATGATGGGGCAAGCTGGCTTCCAGATGCCTGGAAAGTGTCTCTCTTGCCGCAGTGTGGAAGGCAAGAGGGTAGGAAACAATATGCTCAGCATGTTTTTTTACTTTAAAGGCTGTTCTTTCTGCATAACAGGGATGTGATTCGGCATAAGCAAACGATAATCAAAGATAGAGCAAAGGTAAACAGATGAGATGATAGATAAGGAGGAGATATTACCCAAACATAAAGTAATTTGGGGGGTCAGTGAAGCAAGAGAAAGGGGTACTCAAGGAAGTGATGCTATTTTGTACAGGGGATGGAAGAAAAAGAGAGTCTTGAGCAAAAAGGCTATTTCAAAGGAGCGGAAAAAAGAAATAAAATACAGGGAAAATGGCTGAGAAAGCAGCAGAATGACATTTGGCTGCGGAAGAGGAGGAAAAATTCTACAAATAATCACTATTTGAAAATAAATTTTCCAGAGGTTCCTGCAAAACGCTTTGATTTAGGGGATTTCTTTAAAATTCTTTGTTGCTTGTTGACAGAAATAATAATTCTAAGCAGATCTTGCAGACTGTTTGCTGAAAGCAGGTCCTGTGTTTCTGAATGGCCAGAAATATGTGCATTAGAAACATGACCAGGATTAGGGCATAAACTTGTGACGTGGTAGACCCAGATTTAATTCTTGTCATGACAAGGCTTTTTGACTTCTAGGAAGTTGCTTAGCCCAATTCCTCAGCTTTTGGTTTGTAAAATGGGATAGCGCTTCCAGACTGACAGTCCTCTGTCCTCTTCCAGGGATTTAATCCCAACCAGATGTGTGCAGAATATTTTTTGTGTCATGATCCCCCACATTGATTTCCAGAGCCTGCCATTGATTTCCAGTGGCTGCTCAGACACTGAGGATTTTGTTTGTATGGTCAGCCTCTGTACCTTTCTCCTGGAAAATTCACGGAGGACATGAGCTAAAGAAGAGTTTTAGTTTATCTGGAATTTCATCCTTTATTCCATAGTTTATAGTTGATTTTGAAACTGGCGTTTCAAATGGTTCTTGGACAGACTCTTTTGAGTCACTAGTGTTACCCAATACCCCAAAACACCCAATTAGCCTCAAAACTTACAGGGAACTGTAAGGTACGCCGTTTAGTCCTGCTGTGTATGGAGCTTCAGTTTATGATTCCTATGGCCCTAGTGTAATAAAGACAGGATTTTAAAAACATTGTCTAAGCATGGCAAAGACACACCTCAACCATTGACATGTTTTCCTGCTCCTGGGTCCCATCCTTAGGGCAGGGCTGCTGGCTGGAGCCTTCTAGGGAAGGACTATGCCGAAACAGGCAGATGAAAGAGCATGTTTCTCTCTGCAAAGAGTTTTTCATCAAACACTTTCATGTTTATTACCAGCCTCGCCCAAGCACTTTTATGAAATCTAGTTTCTTGAAACTCCTCCAGCTTCCTTGGGCCGAGCTCCAGCCGATGGCAGACGACTACAGGAGCGACCAAGGGGTCAAAAATCCAAAAGTCTCTGGACAAACGAAACTGGATGATGTATTATATCAAAGATCTGGGAAAAGTAGAGGCTCAGCACTTGGTGTTCGGTCTCATACCCTTTTCTTATCCCCTTCCTTTGTGTGTTTCTCAGGATGCCTTTGTAGCATTTCACAGTGATAAGTCTCTGGTGAACAAATACTTGAAGTCTCTGCTGATTGGGGAGTTGCCTCCGGATCAACCCAGCTTTGAATCCAACAAAAAAGTGAGTGTCCCAGAATCCAGCTGTGGGAATGGCTTGGGGTTCAGCACGGGAGGAGAAGGGAAACAAGAGCAGAAATAGTTTCTGAAGCAGCGTGCCTGACACCATGCCACGGGCTGGGTGGTGGGGATGCAGCAGGCAGTAGTTGTGCATGGAAGCATGGGCTGTCCCAGAATCACTAAATCCACACCTGGGTGTAAGGAATGAGCCCCACAGCCCAAAATTCTGTTCATTTCTTCCCGCTGTGATGTCTCAGTAAACACAGCCTGCCAGCAACTGGTTTTCCCCTGTCAAAGTGAAGCCAAGGTCTGTTGATCTCATGCTCATTTTTGCACAGAGATCCACCTGATAGAATATCTCCACTGGCTTCCATGGCTGCTTTGGGATCTCTGGGTCTTCTGTGTTACATTTTCAAAGTAGGCAGTGCATTAATACTCCCTTTACCCACAGAAATCACTTTTAGAGGATTTTCGTGAGCTGCGCTGCACTATTGAGAAGATGGGACTTCTGAGGCCAAATTACACCTTTTTCTTCCTGATTTTCCTCCACCTCCTGGTACTGGATGTGGCATCCTGGCTTGTGGTCTGGTACTTTGGGATATCCTTAGTGCCGTTCGTGATTGGCATGGCGTTCTTCACCACTGCTCAGGTAAGCTGCTGACAGCTCCTCAACACTGCAGGCTTGGTTGGTGCTTCCAGATGGAGAGGATTCATGAAACGTTCATACCCCAATCATTGCTCTGCTGCCTCCTCTTACATCCTGTAATCTGGCTGAAGACAGCAAGGACGTTCCATGTCACAATTTTTATTGCCTCCAGCAAATCTCGTTCTGCTGATAAGCTGCTCGATGGGGCTGGTGGGGTGTTGTGGAACTGGCAGTTTCACAAGGTGGGATGAGCTGATCTAATCACTTACCCCAGCAAAAGAGGGAACATTTCATTCTCACCTCCGCTTTCAGTTCCATGTTCCTGCACTTCACTGACTGATGGCTCTGGTGTTTACTGGCTCCTTTGTGAGCCATTTATACTCACTATTCCCAGATAGTTTTCTGTTGGTTTAGTAAACTGAATAATAGAAGGAGATGATACATGTCAGGGTCAGTCTAGGGAAGAAGGGAAGAGGACTTTGCAACTCTCAGGATTTTCTTAGCAGCACTGAAACGTTAGGTTTGCTCAGACATCCATGGAACAAGTACAAAGTCACTCATTTTTTAAAATAATCTGTTCTATTTGCCTAATATCTGCTAAGGCAGATATTCCTCCAAGAGCATTCTTGTATTTCCATGGCAATATGAAATGCAATGAAGCTATGGATTTGGAAATTCGTGCACTTTCTAGCTGATTACTTGGAAATTATATCTTTGCAATGGGAGCAGAAGACTTCCATGCTGTAGCAGTCATATTAATTGTAGTGATGCTTTGCTGCTTTCCCTTTAGCTGCTACAATAAAATCAGTATCTGGTATTGAGCTTTAATGGACAGTAGCCTGGAAGGAAGTTCTCAGCACTGAACATGTAAGACAGCAGGTTGAGTTTCTTCCCCAAACCAGAAGGAAGATGCACTCACACTATGAAGTTACAGAGACTCCCAAAGCAAATCAATGCAATGCCACTGTCGCTCTGTTACCTCAGTTGCCCTTTTGTCTTCCAGATCCAGATGGGCTGGTTCCAACATGATCTTGGGCACTGCTCTGTCTTCAGGAAGCCTAAATGGAATCGACTTCTGCAGATCATTGTGATAAATGTTCTGAAGGTAATTGCCTTATTGTGGGAATTTTCTCCGGGGCTAATCTGGACTACGCAACAAATGGGAGTGTCCATAGATTCAATCAATATTGCCTTTGAGGGAAGCGTAGTGCAGCCATCACTAATAGATCGATAAATAGGGATGTAATTGCTGATACTGTTTGAGTTTGAATCCCTGGTCTTTAACTTCTCCTACAGGGGTTACCTGCCAGCTGGTGGAACCACCTGCACAACCAGCACCATGCCAAACCCAACTGCTTCCGCAAAGACCCCGACCTCAACATGCACCCTCTCCTCTTCAGCTTGGGAAAGACACTCTCCGTGGAGGTGAGCGAGGGGATGGCTGGAAAAGCAAAGATTTCAAAGACAGAAAGCTGTAGAGTGAGGTGTAACCATAACCCAGGTTGTGCCGTCCTGCATAAACTCCTGGTCATTTCCAAAGTGTTCCAAGGTTGGAGAGTCTCGTACCAACTGGTTATCATGATGCTTAGGCACCAGCTCCTGAGAAGCAAAGTCTTAAAATCAGTGCTTAAGTTCTCTGAGCTGCTAGAAGAGCAGGGTGAGCACCTTGAAGGCAGGCCAAGGAATGAGTCAGTCCACTTGCAATAGCGTTAGATGTTCTTAGTGATCCTGTAGATACTGAGTCAGATGTTCCCTCTGGGAACATACCTCTCCTTTTGGCTGTGGGAGCTGTTTGGCACCTAAATCCTTCAGGACCAGTATAGCTGCTATGCAGAAAACACAGGCGTAGCAAATTATTTCTTAATCACAAATGTTATGGCTTTCATAAAAATAAAAAACATGAGCAGGCCCTCTCTTTATCCTTATGATTTCTGATATCATCAGGATAGGCAAGGTCTCTTCAGCCTTTTCTTTCCTTCGCAATTCTTTTTACTCATGGGGTGATGAAACGGCCTCTTTACTAGATAACCAGCCTCTTAAAACAAGGTCTCACTCTCCTTTAGCTGGTAATAAGAAAAGCAATCACAGCTCTCCAAGGCATGTGGAAAATTCCAGCCCTGCTGTCTCAGAAAGACTCCTGCAAAGAGTGTTTGTACAAAACGCTTATTCATAGAAAACTGAGCTGTTACTGAGAAGGATTTTGTCAATGGTCTTCTGAAAGATCTCTCATGGCTATACATATATTATATATATTTTATGGCTGAAAGATCATGGCTATATATTAGGATGAGCATCTAGGGTGGGGTGGCTGCGCCAGATGGGGTTTGATGGAAGTGCAAATGTAGGAAATTAGTTCTCATGTCTTCCTGCTTTTTAGCAGAAAAGAGTCAGGATGAGTGACTGAGTCAGTGGATGAGCAAAATGGATTTCAGGGGTTTCATTTAGTCCAGTTCATTTGGTTTGTTTCAGTTTTGATCCAATGAAGGTTTCTTTGAGGATTTTTTCTCAGTAATAAGGGAGCTCTGGAAATAGCTCGCTTTATCTCCTTATTATTTTGTCCTTTGAAGAATCATAGACTACAAAATTTGCACATTAAGTTAAGAATTCTTTTGAGAAAATAGTGAAAAACTAAACTGTGAAGAAATAAACTTATTGTCCTTTTTGTAAATTTTTCATCTCTTTGCTGTTTCATGCACCTGAAAGCAAAGTATCCTTATAGAGTATTTACTACTTTGGTCTCATAGAAATCCAGTTACAGTAATTTTAGGATAGTATCCAAAGGCTTATTTAATTTCTGACCACTGTCTCCTTTATTAATTTGAGATGTCTGCATCCCATCTAATCTGATACAGAAATTCAGATGTAGTTTTCACATCAAACACATCCCGCATTCATCACCCACCAAGTTTTCTGTCTTGGTTTTCACGTTAATAACCTGTTCCTCCCTGAGTACCCATAGTCTCAGCACTCTGTGATGAATACATGGAATTGGTTGGATTGGACTTTCATTACCACCACTAGAAACTTTTCCTACAAAATTCAAATGACTTGTGAGCATTTTTGTGATTTTTGACCATTTTTGTATGAGTTTTAGAACTCTCCTAAAAAATGTCTCTCTTCTGACGTCAGCATAACATTGATCCCTGGATACAGAGCTGAAATGAAATCTGTTTCGCTTCACTACTTTGGAACTTCAGTACCTGCTTTTCAAGAAGAGGGTTGAATTAGAGAGATTAAGAGGTAGTTCTCAATTTTTTTAATTAGCCAGGAATCAGAAATGCTTTATGAAGATTCTCAGGTCTCCAACTGGACCGTTACAATGTCTTTTCATTTTTCAGCTTGGAAAAAAGAAGAAGAAGTTCATGCCTTACCATTATCAGCACAAGTATTTCATCTGTGAGTATCCCCACTTCCTTGTAGGGCTGTAGGAACTTCACCTACAAATCATGACTGTGTCTCCTCCCCAAAATAAAGGATGTAAAGCTCATCCCATTGAAGTGACAGCTTCAAGAAGCTTCCTTCACATTAAAGAAGGTTCAAGTGAAGAAGAATTGTCCCTTATGTCTCAGCGAGGATTATGTGATGTTAGGTACTAGCTAGGGGTGAATCAAGGGTGAGGAAGAAAGGGGTGGGAAAGAAATGAAGAAGTGGTGAGATGAAAAGAGGAAGAGATTATGTGGACACATGAAAATTAGTGTAAATGGAAGACAGCAATTTCTCTTCCATTGGAAAGAAGAGTCTTTCTTCTTACAGAAGAATATTCTGTAAGATTTATGACGCAAGATTTTGTAAACGTCTCTCTGTTTTCTTTCTCCCCTTCAGTATTGGCCCCACTTGCTCTCGTGCCCTTCTTCCAGCTGTCTATATTCTACTTTGCAATCAAGAGGAAAAAGTGGTTGGTAAGCACTACTTGCATTGTCTAGAAGACTTTAAAAAAAGGTCATCACTCTGTGGCTACATTAACCTTCACCTCAGGGAATTATGGGGTTTAAGATAGAAAAGGACATTTCTAAACTTGCTGCAACAGGAATGTAGTCACAGGGTCCAGGGAAAGATATTTATAAGAGGCTTTTTAGCCTCTTAGCAGCTGAATAAAAGTTAACAGAGAACTATCAAATGTAGGCAGATGTGATTACGGGGCTGTTTGCTGGTCTTTAATTGCTGATGGTAAAATGTGTGCTGTGGGAATAGTTCAGGGTACACTCAACTTAGGGCAGAATGGTGGTGAGGAACTTACTCTTTGTAAATAAGAGATCAATAAATAAAAACATTTTTTATGCTGCAGTAAAGGGGAGAGGAGGGAGTAGAGGGAATTCATCAACAAACGCTAATTTTCATCTTTTTTTTTTTCTCTTGTTTTGTTTTGGCTTGTTTTGTTTTTCTACAGGACTTGTTATTGGTTGTGTCTTTCAACATCCGAGTCTGTCTCATGTATATTCCTTTAATGGGATTTAACAACTTCATGGTGTACTACTGGCTGTCCAGGTAACACACTACATACCCAGAGTCCCCATGAGTAATATTTGTAAACAGTATTAAGCTTCAATGGAAATAGACGAAAACCAGTCCTACTCACTACAATTTGCTCAGAAATAACTAGTCAGCCAAGAAGAAACAGTATAACTTCAGGGTGGTGGTGGTGGTGGCTGCTCAGGGACATCTGCAACCACAAATTAAGTCCTTCTTAAAGGAAACTCCAGAAGTTAGGAGGCAAAGGGGTGGAATAAAAATCCTGAATTACGTAAAAGTGCTCTTTTACTTAAGATGAGACTCAGGAAAGTGTTGTAATGGTAAGCTTGGATGGGAATAGAGATACGATAAGAGTTTCTGTGTTTATCTGCCCAGGTATCTAGAGAGTACCTGGTTCATTTGGGTGTCGCAGATGAATCACATTCCAATGGATATTGATTATGATAAGAACAAAGACTGGGTATCTACTCAGGTGAGAATCTCCTTACTTATGGAAAAGTGGGTCTGCAGTTCTGAATTATAGGACGATGCCAACGTTGTTCTTCTCTTAGCTTTATTTATTAATGTTAATAATTTATTTATTTATGTTAATGAGGGTTGTCCTTGCTGTTTGTTAAATAGCCATGCATTTCTGTAGCAGTCAAAACATTTTAAATTTCAGTTGGAAAACAGGACATCAAAATTAAAAAAAAAAACCAAACACCACAACTATTTTTAAATACAATTTTACTCTCATCTATACTGCCTCCAGCAATACAATACCACATAGTGGCTTGTAAGCATTTTTCCTTATATTAAGGAAATATATATTAAGCCTGGTATTCAGCTGACCAAATCTGGATGTCTACATCTGAACACCTGCTACATTCATTGGAGAGAAAGAGCCATTTCTAGAGCATGATTCATCTTACTCTGAAATAGACATCTAAATCAGCTCAGATGAACAGCACCGTAAAATTTTCCAATTTTCTCCAGTGACCCTAAAGTCATGAGCTCAGTTGCAGATTTCAAACTAAAAGGGTCTAAATTAGGTGAGATGAAGTCCATGTACACAAATGTTTGTTGGCATACTTTTGCATCTGACTCCACTTGTACTAGTTGGAGGAAAACCAGAAGAATGTTTTTTGTTTCTTTATTGGGCATCTTTTTCCGTCCAAGTGCAAGATGTGAGGAGAACCTCAAAAGAATCACAGCTGGGGTTATGTGCAAGGCAGTGAAGAAGCTTTTCTGTCTGAGCAAAGAGCTAGCTAAATTCATGTATTTCAACAACCCATTTCAATCTAGACTTTGTTTCATTCTTCAGGGCAATGATGGCTATAATCCCTGATGCTAGACTACCTTTTATGCTAGATGAGGGTGGGTAATGATTGCTGGGGTTGAATTATAAGACTTTCAGAAAAATTAAAACTAAATCATGTATTTCTTTGGTCCTTTTTTCTCCCAGCTCCATGCAACATGCAATGTGAACCAATCCTTTTTCAATGACTGGTTTACCGGGCACTTGAACTTCCAAATTGAGCACCAGTGAGTATGACTGTGGAGAGAAGAGTGGGAATAATATGGGTCACTTAAAAGTGAGAAAAGCCATGTAGTCTCATGAAACCATCTCAGGAGACGCTTTGCTCTCCTTTTGGGGAAGGGCAGGGAAATATTTAGAACAGATGGAACAGAAAGTGGTGCAAGCAAAGTCTTACAACAACTCTCTCTCTCTCAATTCTCCAGCCTTTTCCCCACAATGCCTCGACACAACTACTGGAAGGCAGCTCCTCTGGTGAAAGCCCTCTGTGATAAGCATGGCATTGAGTATAAAAGCAAGACGCTACTGACAGCCTTTGTAGATATCTTGCAGTAAGTATCAATTAACAAGAAAGTTTTGCACTGCGATAGCACACAAGGGAGGGACAGAGGCAACCATTTTGAATCAATATCCATGGAGAGATCAAACCTAGAGTTTATTTAAGTTTTTCTAAAAGCACTTTCATTTTCAAAAATTTCCAAAGTTTCAAAGATACATTTTTTTCTTCTTTAAATCCTCTCAGCTCATTCTCTGTAGTCAGACTTTGCTATGAGATGTCCATGCATTTTTTAAATCCATTTTTTCCATTTACTTCTTTCTACATCTAAATTACAGTTTGCTTCGCATGAAGTTGAATATTGTCTCCCCATAAGTGATTTTTTACTTTTCTGTTCCTGCAGTTCACTGAAGGATTCTGGGGAGCACTGGCTTGAAGCATATCTGCATGGATAGAAACTGGCAAGTCTCAAATGGAACCTCTTTACCAGACAATGGCTGCAAAGAGTCAGCACAGACCATCAGTGTGTTTGTGTCTTCTGGTATAGAAACATGGGAAGTGGTCAAAGCTAATTTCAGTAAGAATGGGTGGGAAAGTGGGTTAAAGATATGTTTTTTTTCTTGTTCCCAGCCATGAACCTCTATTTTTCCTGCTCTCAAACTCAGCATTTAGAGGTGTGAGGAACTGGGCCTTCAAAACAGGGAGAAGTAGCTCTTGATAAATCTTGAATCAGCTTGATTGGTTTACTTCATTGGAGGTGCCAGCTCATTGCTTATGGAAAAAGTTTGAAAGGAAATTCTTCATAGAGTCATAGAATCATAGAATGGTTTGGGTTGGAAGGAAACTTTGAAGATCATCTCATCCAAACCCCTGCTCAAAGCCCCATCCATGCTGGCCTTGAACACTTCCAGAGATGCAGTATCCATGACTTCTCTGGACAACCTGTGCCAGGGTCTCATCACCCTCACAGTCAATAATTTCTTCCTTATATCTCATCTAAATCTACTCTCCTCTGCTTAAAAACATTGGCCCCTGTCCTATTGCTACAAGTCCTTGATAAAAGTCTCTCTCCATCTTTCTTATAAGCCCTCTTTCAGTATTGAAAGCCCACAATAAGGTCTCCTTCCTGGTATTTTTGGCTCAGTGGATTGTTGAAAATGGATAGAACAGAGCAAACTGCAGGAAGTCAGGACATATTAGGTCAGGGGGGATCTTTAGAGGATATTCTAGAGTAGATAATATAAGTGTGCAAAGAACAAGATGGCCTGGGGTATGTCCCCATCGCTATTGATCCTATGTACAGTACTTGCTCTAACTTTCTGATGCAGACTGAAGGAGTAGGTCCAGCCTGCAAGGGTATTTAGGGTACACTTGCTTTTATTGAGTTCTCTCTATATTAATTTTTATCTAAATTCTTGCTTCCTGGTGATTCCCAGGACCTGTGGGCACCTACGTTGGTTATTAAGGCAACGAAGTACACTTGTGGTTCTGTTCCTCTATCCAGAAAAGGAATTAAATCATACCTAATTCTGCCATCCCATACAGGCCTCTTTGGGTCTTGCAAACTTTTCTTCTCTTTTGGCATTCCCAGGAACCAGCTCCTTTCCTGGAACTCTCTCTTACAGATTTTGTACCTGGTACTTAGCTTTTTGGCTCCAGGAAGGACATAGCCTCTCCCTGCTAATGGTCAAGACAGTTTCTGCTAGTGGAAAGTGTAATGACCATTTGTGTAGAGGCACAGTAGCTCTCCAAGACCACCAGAATTCTTCTATTGGTCTTTGAGAGAGCCAAACAAGTGAAGAAACTCAGAGTGGGCCTCTAGCAGAATATCTTCACTGAAAGTGCTTTAAACCTTATGGGAAAGGTAAACTGTAAATGAGGAGAGATGGGCATCAAATAATAGACGAAAGAAATAGAGGATGTACGGAGGAACAAGGAGATATGTAGGTATTAATTAATAGCAGGGGAAAAAAAGAAGGGAAAAAAAGCTGAGTGGTGATACTATGGTCATTTGGAAAAGCTAGAATACAGGAAAAAAAAAAGAGAAATTATAAGAATATCAATAAAAGCTCCTCTTCATGATTTTTGGATTGAAAGTCAATCCCTGTTTTGGAAAGAGCGTATGACCTCTGGTTAATCTTGCTGATTTTGCAAAGGAATGATGATTCAATGATGACATTTTCTAATAAGATTTATAGCCAATATACTCCATTCTGAAGCAGCTGACCCGTACTGGCAAAACCTGTATTGTACTGTATTTCACCGAGCTGACCTAAGACCATAAAGGTAGTCTGTAATGGCAAATAAGTTGAAAATTTGTACATAAGAGCAAAGAATGTGTAGAAGAAAAGTGGTTCTTCTCCTCTGCTGTTCACATCCAGAAGTCTATGCCCCAGCTTTAGGTGGAAAAACCACCCAAAGGAGAAAAACATGAAAGATCTGAAAGTGAGATAACAGCACGAACAGTGTGACCCATCTACAACCTGCTGATGAGCAACTTAGATGTATTACAAGCTACAGACAACAATAACAGCCTTCCTCTAGGTAACCAATAACACCAAGGCTAACACACAAAAGCAGAAGGAGTTTGGACTTTTCTTTTTTGCCTTTGTTTTTTAAGAACATCTCCATTTATTCTTTTTATTTATATTTTTTGTGTGTTTGTGCAGGTACTAATAACACTGTTCTGCTTATTTCCAAATAATAGCTGGCAGATGTCATTGAAAAAGATCCTGTTTAAAAAAAGTAGTTATTCAAAAACTGCTTTGAATGTAATTTAAAAATCCCTTCTAACTAGTACCCAGAACAATTTGGTGTTCCCAAATCCAATGTTGGTTAGAATGGTGAGATCCACAATTATGTGGAATAATAGTAACATTTTATAAGTATTAAAGTGAAAGCATGTCTTAAGGTGAATGCAGAGATTTCAGTATAGAATGCTCTATTTCGTAATACATGAAGACATTTTAAAATGGATGTCTTGGTGAAGGTAATATAAATATTAAGGATTCCTACCTTTTTTTGCTAGTGAGACTTGAAAGCTGTGCTGATTAGATCCTAAGTCTCACTGAAATCCTTTAAATACAAGACTGACACAAAATGGTACTTTCTGGTGTCAGTGTCACAAATCAAGCTGATTATTTCTTGCCCTTAGTTAGCATTCTACTCATGTGAAAGTAGTAATTTATTGAGTCTGTCTTTTTGAAACCTCATTTTAATTAAAATGTTTCTGTTTCTTTAATTGATTCAAAAGCCTGCTCTGTGTGAATATTAATTTATTTCTTTATGTGTTTCATAAAGGTTATTAACGATTCAGCTGATTTACCTTTGTCAAATTCTAACACGGTTCACAAACTTCAAGGGGTGAGGGTGAGAAGCTGCCAAGCCACTTCGTTCCGTCTTCGCAGTAATACTGAGATCTCTCATAGTCTGATCTTAATGAGTAATAATTGCAAATTGCTCCAGCTGTAACACTGGTGTAGAAGGAGAATAAGTGTGCTCAGTGAGAGTTTGTTCAACAGAAAGCTTCAACATGACAGAGACTAAGAAGATTGAAATATGGGTTTTGTGCTTAAAGTCTTCTGGAGGCTGTCATCCTATGCATCATGTTTTCCTGTAATTTTCCCTGAAAGAAAGCATATGTAATCTGGAATACCTGGAAGAAACAAGGAAATGAAGGAAAGAGTTTGCAGGATCCTGTTGTATTACAGAGCTCTAGTATTTTCCTTTCACTTCTCAGCTTTTCTCTCACCCTCCTCCTGGATAATTTTAATCATTGCCTCCTTTAAATCTTTTCCAAATGGGTTTCCACCAACCTTTTCCTCACCTTCAACTCATGGATATTTCCTATCTCCTCGTGATCAGACTCAAGGCTTTCTACCCTGAAAAGGTTCTCTGAAAGATTTGAAGGATGCTGGCTGGGTGGCAGTTTGTATGGATAAGTCATGTCAACGAACCTGCAACAAATATACTTTCACAGCAAAAAAGAGAGTAGAGAGCTTTGGGGATAAGGACAAGCTTAGCTTAACAAAGCTTCTTTCAAGATGAAGGGAGGCACACATGGTTACGTCCCCTCTCCTAAATTTGTGTCTTCGCTTTTGTTCTTCACTCAGGCTCTAGATCTCGGGATGCAACTGGGTAAGATGGTTCGGGTGGATGCAGGCTGGAAGAATTTAGAAATGGAAAGAACAATCCCCGTTTCTACTGACGTCTTGCTCTGTGTGGCAGGACCCTCTCTCCTCCCACCAAAGGGAAAACCCCTATAAGACTTGATTCTTCTTCCCACTCGCCCCTGCAAAAAACTGCTGTAGTTCTTCAGCGTTATTGCATAAACTCTTAAATAATTGATTGGTGGCCAACTCATTTGTCGCTTGACATGAAGGAAATTACAATGTGTATATGTATATAATGTATATCCATTAACAGTCAATCAGAAATAGAAGCAATACCTACAATGCAGTCTGACCACACAGGTGGCTATATTCCAGTTTACCACCTAAAATGCCTTTTCTTTTGGTGTTGCCTTCAGCTGGCTCAGTAGGTGTGTTCTGCTGTTACTCTAAAGCTCTTTAAATGCTGAGCTGTGCTCCTGTGCGTGTACAGAACTGCCCCGGTCTGAGCAATTTTCATCTTATCACCCACTTAAGGGTGGAGCACCTTCGATTTTCCTGTCTGCCATATCCCCTGGAGGGTCTGATCCCATAGGCGTGCTTGGAACACACTTGACATATTGGCAGGGCTGCAGTTTTCAGAGACGGTTGGTGTTTGTTTTCTTTCTAAAATGGGGCTGGAATCCTCCACTTTTTCATAAGAGGGTGGTTATGCAGTCGTTAGGGCAGTAGAGTTGCCTCGGTTTGGTCCTCTCCCTAGCAAAAGTGACTCAAAGCTATAAGACCCACCTCTTGCCCACGTTTGGCTTGGGTGGTGACGTGTTCCCCTCTCCTTGGAAGGTGTACCAGAGTGCAACAAAGAATTCAAGACTGGCAGAACTGGCCCCTCCTTTATGGCATTTCTTGTCTGGTTCTCAGAATATTTCTTGGGCAGGCATTTGGTCTCCATTTTAGATGCTTTCTACGCCTTAGATTTAATGGCTACTGATTGTTGCAAGAGCAATTTCCATCCTTTGCAATCACATTCATAAGAGGAACAAGGTATCTTAGGCAATCTCAGCCCTTAAGTTGTACTTCCAAGCCTGTCCTTGCTCCACAAGGGACTAGAGAATGTTGTGCCAGGACCAAGTCAATTGTACAAATGTTGGGTTTTGGTATCCTTTTTGAGGAAACTGTGATCAAGGGAGATTTCCTGTGCACATACAGGGTCTGAGAAGCACCGTGATGGGGCTCTTGTAGTAGGAAGAAGCAATTTAGAATCATGATGGTGCCTCTCCTGTCCCCCTTTCCATACTTATTACTGCCACCTAGAATAAAATAGCAACGTGCCTTGAATACTAGAGGATGAGTAGATGTGAGTAGAAGCCCAGGACAAACTCGGAGTGAGAACTGGAGAGAGTGCTGGAGAGCCTACAGAAGCTTGTGCAATATGAAGTGGTAACTTGTATAATGCTGTTGTAAGAGCTGGTTGGAAGCATCTGTTAGGGTATGTGGTGTCTTCTGTTACCCAGCTACAAGTTAGACTTTGCAGGTACAAGTTAGACTCTGAATGGAGCCAACGTGCTAATTGCTCGGTTTTTCATAGTGTGTTTGGTGCTGAACATGCCAGCTCTGCCTTGC